AGAGAGAAAAGCCGATCAGCTGATCATTGATCAGTTTAATGATTGAATGAGAGAAGAAGAGGCAGCGGGTTGATCGTGGCTCAAGAGTTGGGAGTTCGCCTTGTAATCGAAAGGTTGCCAGTTCGAGCCCCAGCTCGGACAGTCTCGGTTGTTGTGTCCTTGGGCAAGACACTTCACCTACTGCCTACTGGTGGTGGCCAGAAGGGGGGCCGATGGCGCGATATAGCAGCCTCACTTCTGTCAGCCCAAGGACACAACGACCAGGACAGAGAGCCCAGGGATCGAACCGGCGACCTTCCGGATACAGATGCGATTCCCAACCCCCTGAGCCACGGTCGCCCACACATGATGGAGCCATGTGTTCATGTTTATGCCAAATTCTGACCCTAGCATCGGAGTGTGACACTCATTAGGCCAGACGACATTTCTCCAAAGCAGTTCTTCTCTGATGTCTGGCATCAACCAGGCATTTTCATGCAGAGAGGTCACTGCTTTTCACTTCACATTTTGGGTTGTCTAGACCAAAATACAAAATTTTGCTCTACAAGGGCCTGATATCCACTTAGGAGGACATTATACTGCTCTATCGAGATTTAAAACGAATGGCGTCTTATGTGGATCTCATTTTTCTCAGAAACAAAAACCATAAAATTTTTTTTAAAAATAAGGTAATTCTTTGTTTTTACATTCATCAGGTCCCAATCAGTCCAAATAATGATGAGAAATTGAAAATGCCTGCCATGAAAGATTTCAGGTCTCGGGAGGTTAAACCCATTTTCTATATTTTCTGTGGTTTGTACAAAAGAATTTTTTTTTTTTTTTACTTTGTACACTTATATGTTATAATTTTGGCATCCCATTTTAAAGTAGCCTTTTTTCCCTCATTTGTTGGATTTAATTTGTTACGTTTTGATATTTCACATCTTTTCCTTTTTTTATTTCACTGACAAACCGACCTGGACCTTCCACCGTTTCATTGTTAGCTTGGTACAAGTTATGCTCTGAAGTAAAGGTCTAGATTCTTTGGCTTTACGCTGCTGTGATGCCTTTTGTTTCAGTGCTTTCAGCCTTTTGTTGCCTTTGTTCAGCCCTGTATAAACCACTACACTGTCTGAATTCAGCCAGAGCTGCTCAACCTGTAGGCAGATCCCAGAGGCAGCCGTTGAGCTCAGAGACTGGGAGGCCCTCACAAGTGTGAGTAATAGTTCTGAATTACAGTCACCGTCTGAAAGGCCGTCTGCGGCAGAAAGCTGCTGTGAACTCTCTGTAAAGAGTTTGAAAAACAGTGACTGGGTGTCTACCTCATGATATACTGAAGCTTAGGTGGGTGCCCACTGCTGAGCTCACCGTGGAGCTGCCATCCATCGAGTCCGGCCCGCTGGGCTGACAGAGTGTTGATAAAACTCAGACCGACAGAGAACGTCAGCGGCTGAACTGTTGTCTGATGCCAGACTTTCAGATCAAACTCCCTTAACTATTTGTTTGGTTGTTCCCATTTTTATTATGATTGAATAACAGCATGAGATACTGTATTGTTTATGCAACAATCAAACTGTGATACACGAGTGTGTGGTTTATTCCAGGATATGCAGAGGGATTAAAAGACACCCTGTGCTTCCAGTTTTTTTTCTCATGGATAAGGATCAGTGGTGCTTTGTGCAGTCAGATCCATTTTCAATCCATGTTTAGTGAGCCAGCGAGCTGCAGTCAGATGGATTTAAGGATGTTTTAAAATGTTGAGCCTTTGTTTTGCACAAAGATACACAGTTAAATATCTTACAATCTTGTGTTGTGGGCTTTTTAAATGTCAGAGGGGCTGCAGACTGACTGCATGTATACTCAGGTTTGGCTTTGAAGGTGATTCCTTACAGGTTTAATGCTCCCTAAAAGAAAAGTCTTTAGAGTTTTGTTGTAAGCGAACATCTTAAACCACTGCACATTTCTAATGTTGTTTTAATATTCAGTTAGTATGTTAAAGTTTGTATAAGTAAGGACGTAATGATGAGTAATGATGATTGATTTTTTTTAGCGACTGAAATAAATAAAGGAATAAATAATTTATATTATGGCTGAAATGTAAGAAAAATGCTAATGCAGTCATGAAATCAAACCAAGTTTATTCTCCAATTGGTGTTTTCAAAATGTTAAGCACTGTCCCTTCCACTGTGACCCCTCAGCACAGGTATTTAAACTGGTATTTTTTTTCTCTTAAACTCTTCACTAAAGGTGCAATCGTACCCAAAAAATCAAAATCAAAAATCATGTTACATCTCGGAAAACTCGTGTTGGAAATAACTGATTGTTAGAGGCTGAAAATGTACACAAGTAAAGCTTGATAATTATTATAATTCATTATTCACATTTCATTTCAGAAGATTTTTTTTATTGAATGATGATACACAGTGAACGTTTATCATGAAGGATGGTAAACAATGAAAGGATGACATATGTGTTTAGACACTGAAAGCTGGTAGGTTATAATGATGAACCAGGGAACCCAGTGAAAAGTACTCTGCAGCACACTTAGCTTAGCATAAAGTCTGGAAGCAAAAAAACAATTTCTACCCATATAAATTAAATGAACGATAAATATTGTGTTAATTAAAGATAGAGCTGGGCTGGAATAGTTTGTCCACTTTAAGGATTCGTGCTAACCCTTCTCCTAGTTTTGAACAGTTGTTACATATTTACTCATTTCTTTTCAGTTCTTGTGTTATTTCCTGTGCTTTGCTTGTTCAGAGTGAGACTGTGCAGGTAAAGTAGATGATTCAACTCTGGGCAATGTGCTGTAAGCTCCACACATGTATGCACACCACACACTTGTGGTATGCACATAAGAAACACAAACCATGCACATTGCGTACAAAAATAATATTAATGTAAATACTGCGAATCCATGTACATGTTGTAATTACTCTAAAGGCTGCTCTTGTATCAGTGTAAATGACCCTGCTACAAGTGTATGTGTATATATGTTGTGTGTATATTTTGTATATACATACGCATACTGTTTGCACTTTGGATTAGATGGCAAACTTTCATTGTTTTTAGTAATGTACTTTTCAATGACAGTCTGACTGAATGTAGCTTAATTTAAAAGGTAGTGAAGTTAAGCTGAAGCTCACATAACCAGCTATTGTGCATAATTGTGCAATAAAACTCTAATAAATGCAAGAAGGATGTTTCTGTGTTAATCGTCCACATCCAGCCGTCACCATCCAGTCACTGTCTGTGTCTTCTATCCGTGTTATTCCTGTCCTCCTGTGGAAGTGTGTCCGAATGCGTCTCAACATATTTAAATGTGCGGCTGTGATGTTTTTGTCTTGTGTTCCCTCCATCGCGGCGTGGCTCATTGAAACTGCATTGTCTTTCCAGGTGGCGAGCGTAACTGTGGAGTACATGAGCTGATCTGCGTCAGAAAAGGTAGGGCAGATCAGAGCTCTGGGAGGTTGACCTTTGACCCATGCACTGCACCTCCCCCTCCACCTGTCTGATCATTTATCACCACTGAAAAACATCTGTGTGTTTGTTTCTGGCTGTTTCGAGTCGCGTTTACTGTTGGTCTGCTGTACTCTTTCGTTCTGTGTGCTCACTGCTTGTTCATGGTGTTTGTAAAGCTTGTAAAAGGTGATCAGTTAGAATTATCTGATGTTGCATCTGTGATGTATAAACGCTTGTGACACAAGAAGTCGCCTTTTTATTTCTATAAAATAATTCTTTTTTTTAACAGGTATGTTTGTGTTTGTCATAGTTAGCGTTTCCTTTATGTATGACCAAGTTTCTAAGATGCTCCAATGTCATGATTTATGGTTTTTATACATTTTTCTGAACAGAAGAGTTACAGTATGCTAGCATCGTTTTGACACTGAACTAGATAAACTGTTGTCATGGCAGCCACACAGCAGTCATGATGTCACTTTTGCTGCGTGCTTTCATTTGTGATGGTAGCAATTTGCAGCCAGCTTTATTTCAATTGCAGTGAACAAAAATAATGCTTGCAGAGCTGTAGCATTTTAAACATTTGATGTGTTTGCAAAGGTTAAAGCTAAAAGCTAAAATGAGATACCCAATTATGGAATAATTACCTATAAATTATAACATCCGCTTGTTGCTCTGATAACAGAAGCATTTAAATTCCATTTTTATTTAACTAATTAATTTTTTTTTAAATATGCATGACAGATTTTTTTAATTAAATAATTAAAGCATTGAAAAAAACAATTCGCCCTTCCAGTACTCCAAGATGCCACGATAGGTTTACTTCTATTTCATATTAAGCAGTCAGCTGGTCACTCAGAAGTTCAGCTTTACCTCTAGTTAACATCACAAACAGATTGTATGTAATTGCAAACTTGACTATATTCAATTCTGAATTGATAGCAGATTGGCTCCATCTAATTTCCATTTTATCGCTGTCTCAGTGCACTAAAGCATTTTATTGTATGGGGAATGAAATGTTTAGAATAAATGCAAATAATGCTTAATTAGAATCCAAAAAAGAATGTTTTGTTAAGCAACAACTTTTAGATGGGATTTCAATGAAATTGGGCGCTTATTAATGTAATCAGGGAAGTCTTCATGTGGCGAGCAATTTTAATAATCTGAAATATTTTATTTACCATGTTGGTAAAGAAGTGGCAAAAAGTCCTACGGTGTTCAAGCGCGGGGATTTATTGTTCAGCATCTGGGGGGTGTAACCACAAGCTTTTCTTAGTTCATCTGCAGTGAGTGGTTTGTTTAAATGTAACTCACCGAAGGGAGCTACGAAACGTCAGAGCAGTGTCAGACGATAATATAAAAGTACATATATGTCGTTACACTGACTACATCATGCGTACATAAAAAATGGGAGGCAGGCCATGAAGGTTTGAGTGAAAGTATGTGTGTATTTGTTTATGACAGAGTATGATGGGACATAAAAACAGCTTCTTGAACATTAGTTTAGATTTAGTGTTGGATGGTTCAGGCTTTCAGAGATTTAGGAGGAGAACGTCAGGGTTCCCCTGTATTTTTTAGAAACAAATAATAACGGATAAGGAATAAGATGAGTTTGTAGCTGCCCAGTTTTACTCATATTTTTTCTATAATTTTCATTATTAGAAAATAAAAACACTGTAGTTTGTATTCTGTAATCAAAGTTCTTGAACCAGTATTGTGCTGTAGTTATCAAAACAACAAATTACTACTTCTGCATTAATATCTTATTTGCATATGAAGAGCTTCTTTTCTTTTTTAACAATGTTTCCATGTTCTGCTTCACTTTAATTGCATTGGAAAGGTTGTTGTTATTCTTATTAAAGGTTATTATCACTGAATGAAAATCATATTTCAAAAATATAAATTAAGGCACTTAATTTGTTGTTTAACGAATTCATCTTTTAGAGCGAAACCTCTACATGCGTCTTTTAGCGCATTTTCCACACAAGTCTTGACGTCCAGGAGATGGTTTCACAATCAGTAAGGAAGCAACCGGAAACATTAGAAATGATGAAAGCAGAGTTTGAAATGAAACTCTGAACAAACTGATAAATGAGACTTCACCCGTTTAAATGTCACCTGATACCATTTGCATCTTCTTGGTGGTTCTGTGAGCATCGTGGCTTTTGCCAACAAAGGGAAGTGACATTTAAAGGTTGGATATGACCTTTATAGTAATAGAAATCCTCACACTTGTGTCTTGGAAGAGGCTAAGGATTTAGCAGGGTGATACGTATGCTATCTACTAAGAGCTTTCACTGGATATATTTCTCTCATTTTTTATCCTTATATAACAAAGACATCAATTGATTTGGTGAAGAATATCGGAAGTGAGAGGATGTTGCAGAAAAAAGAGAGAGAGGTGTGCACAGTGTTGCCTGAGGAAGCTCCTAAAGATCGATTACTTGGAGCCAAGAAGTGTGCAGGCTGTTTTTGTCTTTTTTGGGTTACCTAAAAGAAATCCAGGATGCTTGTACCCTCCAATGCGTGGTTAACCTTAGTAATTATTTTTCACTGTCATATATTAATAACAAATCCTGCTCCTAGTCATTTCTCGGTGAGCAGACATGGTTTGTTTTCGATGCAGCTCATATATTGACGTTCCTGACTTGCCAGATTTTTTATTTATTTATTTATTTTTTTGCATTTTTACACACTAATAAATCAAGTTAACTAGAAGAGCTGTAACTTGGCATGTTCAGTGAAAGTACCGAGTACTTCTCTTTTACAACGGCATACTCATGTTCATAAAGAAAGTATTTCAAACTAAAAAATAAATATGCACAAGTGATTGCAGAAGGTCCTGATCATGATGGAGGGGGCAGCTGAGTGTTCTGCTTGTAGAACTGTGTGTGTGTGTGTGTGTGTGTGTGTGTGTGTGTGTGTGTGTGTGTGTGTGTGTGTGTGTGT